ACTCCAAGCTTGTCTTAACTTGAGGGTTTGTGCTGAAAAGTCTGCTGTGATTCTAATGGGCTTTCCTTGATAGGTGAGTTGTGTCTTTTTTCTAATAGCTTTTAGTATTCTGTTTTTATCCTGGTATGTCTGAGATCTTAATTATTATATGTCTGGGTGTAGATTTGTTGGTTGTGACTGTTTGGTGTTCTATATGCCTCATTTATCTGTGTATCAGATTCTTTCCTCACGTTTGGGAAATTTTCTATTACTTCTGTACATAGCTTAATGATGTCATTCATATCGACTCCTTCATCTTCACTGATGCCCATTAGTTTTGTATTGTTTCTCGTGGTATCATCTTGAAGCTGCTGGATTGTCATTTTATGCTGCTTTGTTATTTTTAAAAGCTCTATGTTTTCATGATCATTAGCTGTGATCCTGTCCTCAAGGTATGAAATTCTATCCTCAGCTTCATTTAAACAGTTATACCAGCTTTCAAGAGAATTTTGTATTTCTTGGATATCCCTTTGAATTTGTTTCATGCATTCTACTTGTTTTCTATATTGTTCGTTCTAAGTTTCCATAATCTTCCCATGCTCCTGTACTTTTTTATCTGTGTCTTCTCTAGCTATGCTGAGCAACTCCTGTATTAAGGTTGTTATTTCTTTCTTTCATGAGAGTTTATTTCTAATCTGATTTCCTCTATCGCCTCATGGATTTGTTTGTTTATTTCACTTGTTATCTTTTCAGAAATTTCAGGTGTACGACTTCTAATATCCTCTGTTTTGATGTCTCCTATACTTGTTCCTGATGGACTGAATGTTTGAGATTGCATTTTGCTTTGTCATTTTCACCTTTGGGTTAATATTTTGGTCTTTTCAGTCCCACTAGCCTTAACTGTCCATTGTGTGTATCTTAGGATCCTATTGTGCAGTTGATGTTTGCCTGATTGCTAGGTCCCACAACGAAGGGTAGGGTCCCAGTCACATGAATTCCTCCTGCAGGGCCTGTTGGTTGAGTCGTATATTCTTCCTTAGGCTAACTAGCCTAGGAGTATTGATGTAAGTCAAGCCTTAGTTCCTATTATTACTACGGCTTCAGGCTGTTCCAGGCTACCAGATCTACCTGGCTATAGTGTGCTCCTCAGCTGACCCTACTGTGTCCTGAGTGACTCATAGACCCTTTTGATTATCTCCGGATGAGGGAGGCCTTGTCGGCACTCTCCTCAACCCACCTGTTGTTCTCTGTATGGAAGAAGGACTCACTCACATTCTTGCCAGACTTGCTAAGGTCCTACAGGTGGGGAGGAGTTCACTGTCCCTCCTGTTTACCCACTGAGATCTTTTATTTGAGGGGGAAACTTACCACACTGTCACAGGCCTGCTGAGGTCCTCTGTGTGGGTGAGGGGTTGCTGAGGCTCCCACAAGTCCACCAAGGTTCAGTAGTGGTGGAAGAGGTTGCTAGTTGTCTGTGGGCTGCTGTGGTCTTTTGGGTGGGGGCGGTGAGGTCGATGATTTGCTGACCCCTGAGTCCATGGATCAAGGAGGGAGGCTGGGCTGGCCTTCCTGCTAACCCCTAGGTCTGTGGAGTGAGGACTTAACATCTCTTCTTCAATGCCTGTACGGTTTCTTTTTTAAAAAAACTTTATCCTAGGTGAAATAATAAGCTTGTTTTGCTTTTATTCCAAAATCCTCTGTGTCATATTCTCATGGTTGGTGAGGACAGTGAGTCATACAGGAAGCTGGGAGGTACGCACTGGGTTTATTGGCTTCCTTTAGGGTCTGCAAACACAAAGAAATCCTTGATCCTCACCCTTTCCACCCTGTCTCCCACCCTGTCCTCACAGTGCTCCACAGTCTAGAAACAGGTATTTTTACTTTTTTTATTTTTGTTGGAAGGGACCTGGCTTCTCCCCGCCGGGTGGTGGCTGCTCTTGGTGCCTCTTTTCCAGCTTTTTGTATTTTGGAAACACATTTAACATGAAGGAAAAGGGGAGGCATGAAAAGCACATTTCTTCAACTAGACCTTTATGAACCAGCCTGCTATTTGACCGTGGATACTTTTCCTCTCTGGCCCTTGGAAGAAGGCAACGAGACTTGTTCCCAATCATAAAGGCAGAGTCTCATCATCTGAGAATCCTGAAAAAGTCTGTGCTGAGACTATGATAGAGACAAAGCAGTTTTGAAAAAATGACAGCATCAAGCAGTTTTGAAAAAATGACAGCATCAAACTTAACCTTGATAGTGAGAGGATCTTTCCCTGTTTGGTAGAAGAGGAGGGGAGAAAGTGGACGAGAACCATTTAGCTGACGTGCTGGAGTATTTGAGATCTGCCTGGGCAGGCGTGTGTTTTGTTCCAGAGTGGTGACAAAGCCAGAGTGAAAGTGCTGCCTGTCCTTGCATGGTGTGTGACAGTCCTGACTGTCAGAGGCCTCCTCCACTTGATGTCTTAAACAAGGGTGGCTTCAGCTGGATAGGGGTGCCTTGTGAGCCTCCTCCCATTTGATCTCGCTCTCTTCCTTGTTTTGTGTTGGAAACCACATGGACAGCATTTCTGGGACTTCAGAGTTGTGGGAGAAGGAAGCCCCAGCCAGCACCAAGCAGCTTTTGGGACACTGGTGTCAGGACCTAGCTGTCCACATCTCTGCCTCTCTGATGTTTCATTAGGTTAGAACTAAGAGCACTAACTCTTCACTCCTTGGTTAATGCTGTCATTACTTTTATATTGTCAGTTGATTTTGTGTAGAATGAGCTACAAGTACAGATTAAATTCAGGCTAGATTTTGAAATACCAGTGTTTAATACATTGTCACTTTCTCCCGTATCTCCTCTTGTCTCTGCTGTGATTTCTGCCTGTCTTGTGGTGGAGAGTGCTTCTCTGTCCCGGTGCTTCTCTCAGCATACACCTGCCTCAAAAGTCTTTTCAGTTATTGTGTCTTTAGGCAGAGATGTTTGGTCCCTAAGGCAGGGATTAGTCATTACAGGGTGTGTAGGAGCATAAGACAGTCCCTGTCCAGATGACTAAGACGTATGTGAACAGAGCAGACGTGGCATCGTGGCCAGATTAATGTGCAGAGTGATGCAGTGTATAGAGCTGATAAATTTATGTAATAAGAAGTGTTTTAAAAGAGTAATAATATACCATCTGCAAAACAAAGACAAGAAGGACAAAAGACTTTAGAACAGAAGAGATTAGTATTGTTAAGATGTAGTGTAAGGGATAGCAAGTTTGGGTAGAAAGAGGGGCATTTGGGTTACATCGCTGGGTCTGAATGGGAGAAGCACAGAGGCTCATGGGAAACTGAGTCTGAGGAAGGAGAACCCAGGACACAGAAGGCACCAGGCCCTATTCTGGGAGCAGGGGTGGTCAAGGAGCTTGTGAAGTAAATTTGGGGAGGGGGGCAGGATTGTCAAAGGTGTGAGAGATGAGAGAGCTGAGTAGGGGTGATTGGGGAGTAGCAGATTCCAAAGGAGTAAGAGTTTCTTTTCATTTAATTAAAAAGTCAACATTGGTGCCTTAAAGCAATCTCCTTTAAAGTGTGTGTTTCAAAGGTTCAAAGGAAGTCACAGAAGAGGAGGTTGGTACCTCTGAGCCATATGTTCAGTTATAACCTCAAGCTCTCTTGAGAAAAATTTCGGGACCACCTTGATTATATATAAAAAATTGTTGTAAAATATTGCAGCATAAAACTGAGCATTGTCACCACGTTTACCTGAATAATGCAGTGGCACTCACTGCATTCCCGGTGTTTGCAGCCATCCTCAGTCCATCTCAGCGTCTTTCTCATGCTCCCAGAAGAAACCCTGCCCATTCAGTGAAACCCCTTCACTCGCAGCCCAGTCCGGCCCACCCCTGTCCTCTCTGTGTCTGTAAATTCACCTGTTTGAGGTGCCTCGCAGTAGTGGAGCATGGGATGTTTATCATTTTGTACATGGATTCTTGCACTTATCATAATGGGTTTATCCGTGTTGTAGTATATATCAGAATTTCCTTCCCTTTTAAACGTTGCACGATGTCTGCTATGTGGATGTCGCATGTCTGGTTTATCTGCTCGCCTGTGCTTAGACTATGGGGTTGTTCTCATCTTTGACTCCCCTGGTTGATGCTGACTTCAGCAGCCAAAGTGGTAATGACAGACTGCCTTGTGCTCACGCTGTGTCCCCTTAGCTGTTCCACTTGGTGTCCAGTGCTAACCATATACGACAGCATTATAACATTATTTAGTGATTTGTTTCCTCAGTAATTTGATTCCCTTTACCCTCACTAGGATCTGTGCTTGTTGTGTTGTATTGTGTTGGTGTTAGGGACAGAGTCTCTCCTGAACTACAGTTCAGGCTGGCCTCACACTCATGGTAACACTCTTGCTGCAGCCTCCTGAGTGCTGGGATGACAGGTGTGTGGCACCATGCTTGGCCAGAACCTGTGCCCTAGAGGGGTTCATCTGCTTGTTCACCCTTGTCTCCTGCCTTTATCACTGTGCTTTGCCCTTAATAAATGCTTTTGGATGAGTAGGGGGGCTTGCTGGAGGGGTTGAGGGTAGGTGAGGATGTCCTTCCCTGAGCCTGCTAGTTTTGGTCATGCACCTCTGTGAGACCTGGGAAACTGAGTTCCTGTTGTGCTTCATCATCACATTCTTCTGGAGGTGGAGCTGCTTTTTCTTCATTTGTGACGAGAGCTGCTTTTGAACAGTGTGGTGCAGGATCCCCTTTGGTGTAGAAATGTCCTGCAGTAAGGATTTCAGGGTGAACCTGTAAGGTAGAAGTCAGGAGACCCAGGATCAGCTGAACTTTGCTGTTAAATTAGCCTCATCCTTTAGTCACATCTCACACACCGTCATGACTGCTGACGCGTCTATGTGTGATATGTGTGTTCACCGCATCACATCTCCTGTCATCCTGTCACTTTGTCTTGAGTGGAAATGGCTGGGATTTTCCAGCTGGCTTGTGGAAGAAGGCCCGTCCAGACCAGTGTGTGAGTTGGAAGGCATCACTGACACCTTCTGCTTCCTCCTCTGCAGCCGTGGACAGGGTGAAGAGGCCATCGCCGGAGTCCCAGAGCAACAACCTGTGGATCATCGTTGGCGTGGTCATCCCAGTGCTGGTGGTGACGGTGATCATCGTCATCTTGTACTGGAAACTGTGCCGCACGGACAAGCTGGACTTCCAGCCTGACACCGTGGCCAACATTCAGCAGCGGCAGAAGGTAGGGTCAGCCTCGCCGCATTCACAGGAGCAGTCTTGTGGGACAGAGCCCTCTAGGTCCTTGATAGTAAAGTTGGGGGAACAGCTCTGCCAGGAAGCCCTCTGTGTCACAGGCTCAGGTCTGCTGTGAGCTCTGGATTCTCCGTGGTTTTATTTTTGAGAGGCTCAATTGAAGATTATATCCTTCCTGTGTGTGAATTGTGTTCTATTTCACTCCTGGATATTTTCAGAGAATAGAGGCCAAGAGAAGCTTTCTCAGATCGGTGTGTCTAACTCTTTCATACAGAATTCCCCATCAATGACTCCTTTCTTTTCCATACAGCGTGTTGGAAGTCCACCAGTCCACTTGATGGAGCCGGCTTACACATGAACAGTTGGCGTACAGCCCGTAAACATTTTAACTTCAAATACAGGCGCGGGTACTTACTTGCCCGTCTTTCAGTATATCCCAGTTTGTTCTATTCTGAATGTTGGTTTACTGAGAGGAACTCTGTATGATTTTTCTCCTAACAAAAAGTACCCACCATGTATCAGCTGCAGTTTCCAATTTGGGTTTCTTTTGGGAACGGCAAAACAATCTGAGTGCAAAGCTCTCTTGATTTGTTTTTCAGTGTCTCCTTACACCCTTTACCCCGCTCCACAGTTTTTAGAAAGTTGATTCTCCTACACCTTATTGACAGCCATGCTTTTATTTATTTATTTTTTTAGCAATGTATCTTTCATGTGTCTTTGCAAAGCATTCAATTTAGTTTTAGGGGAACAGCAATTCTCTTTTCACTTACTTGTATGTTTCCACTATTTCTATAATATTCACTTGTCACATCAGGTTTCTAGGCAAAGCAATGGCTTTGGGGCAATGTCTAGCTCACCTGGTATGAGGAAAACCCTGCAAGTCTCCTGGAGAAGAGCTACAAGCTTCAGGCGTTTAGTCCAGCGTGCATGCTGGTCAGTGTATTTACCACGGGAGCGGGCAGTGGTAATCAGTCTGCCATGTTCATTAACCTGTACCTGCCACAGATCTAAATAGTTAGGAGACTCTCTCTACTCTGCAGGTTTAAAAATTAACAAGCAAAAGGCAAAAGAACAACACAAAAGCATTGCCCTAAAAGCCTTTTTAAATTCATATTGACTCTAACTTTTTAAAATTAGCAGTTAGCTATTTATTCTCAAGTGTTTGTATTTTGCTTATTTTATTTTTTGGAAAATAAAATTCCACAAGCAAATAATGAGAGAACAATTAAGTATTGCACAGTGTATCATTGTCTTCAAAATAGTTACTCAAAGAATAAGACATAAGCCAAAAGGTTGTTCCAAAAAAGAAAGAAAGATAATAACACAACCATTTCTTCTCAATGAACTAAGATAAACTAACAATATAAGTGAGACCAACTAGTATCTTCTAACCTTTTGAGTTTACTGATTGTCTCAGTGTGAAGAATTCTGCATTTTACAAACCTTGCGCTGTTGAACAAAAAAAGTTTTATTTTTAAATTAATTTTGCTTTTATAGGAGTGATTTCTTATGCAGCTATGCACAATTACAACTTCTTGATTAAACTGCAAGTGTATGGTTATACTGAAAGCATTTTATACCTCAGTACTATGATTACTGCCTGTCTTCATTTATTATTACCTACCCTGTGGAGCTGTTGTGGTGTTGTCTTAGTGAGCGGCATGGGGAAGCCCTTGACATACTAAATGATTCACCGTGTGAATTTCATTGCAGTAAGACCCACAATAGGTTGAGAAGTGTTTTTGTCCTGGTGAAAGGATATTGTTACAGGGAGATTTAACCAGGGCCTTTGACAGTGTGTTTAGGGCCCTTCTGGGCTGTGCTCCCTGACATCCTCCCTCCCCAGGGAAGCCTGTCCGGTACCTGGAGAGCAGTGAATGACCGGGGTCAGCACCTGTGTGTTGAAAAGCAAGGTGTTCCCTACACTTCCTCCTTCTCTCCCTTCTTTATCCAAAATATTTGTGCATGCCGCGCACAACAGGCCGAGTTGTGAATAGAACTTCCGGGTCTCAGAGTTATTTTTTGCCTTCAGGTGCTGTGAGGTTGTGTGCACTGGTTGTCTGCTGTTCATGGCTGAGGTCTTTGGCCTACAGCTTTCTGGCAGGATCTCGCAGGGTTACAGAAGCAGAGTCTGGTTTTGCTGGTGCAGGAACCTGCCGTGTAGATACTTTCATGGGTCTACAGTGGCAAAATCATGATCTTTCCTTAGTCTCAGAACGAGCTCTCCACTTCCCCAGTCCTCTCTGAGGCTGCGTGGCAGTCAGGAGGGCCTGGGTCCCCCCCACCCCCCAATGCCGGGGCTCCTTCCCTGCTCCCATGCTTTCTGCTTTCTCTCTCCCTCTCACTTATCTCACCCTGGTGCTGCCTTGTGCTGCTCTCTGAAATCCTTCAACAAATCCAGAACTGCACACATCTGGAAGCAATAACTCTGCTGACCTACAGCCCACACCCCCTGCCCCTTGTAATGAGTAGGAGACCTCTTCAGGTTGTCTGGGAGTAGATTATTTTTGAAATATGGTAAGTGGGAGAGGCTATTTTGTCTTATGTTGAGGCTGGGCCCTTTCTTATTTCCTATAAGAAAGAAAAACATCCCACAAGACTGTGTATTTTTCCTTTCTCTGCAGTTCATAGCAGTTGTTTGTTACTTTTGCCTAAAAACCCATAGCCTGGATGCTTTTTATCACGAATGGCAACAGATCCCCTGTAGAATCTGTTCCTTCTGATGGGTCCATCCACACGCAGTTCCTGGCCTGGGATCAGAACCCCCAAGCAGCCGGCACCCTTTCTTGCTCCTGAGATTGGCCCTGCGGGCAGCCAGAGAGAACTGTAATGGTCATGAACATTCAGACACCAAACTTCTGGGCTAGCATGGCCAGGCTAAGTGACAAACACACACGTGTGGCCTCTGCCACCAGAGCTTTAGGGAAGGAGGAAGAGTCCTGCAAAATCTGACATTGAGGCTCTGTCTCCCGAGAGTGGGGTGTTGCTGAATGGGAGAGGGGAGGTGGAGGGGATGCCTTGGGCCACAGGGGGAACAGAGCAGCTCAGGAAAACTGGGGCACAGCCCACACCAAGGCTGTGGAGGAGAAACAGGGCCTGGGACTAGACCTGATGCTAGGGGCTTTGGGCAGTCTTTGAAGGCTCTTCTTCGGGGTGAGTTTTCATCTGCAGCCATCACAGTGGAAGGCAGTGCAGTGGATCCAGGGGGCCACTGTGAGTGATTCTTCCCTCCTGCAGACAGTGCAGCATACAGGGCTGCTTTTGGAGTCTTCAGGCTCCCCTGAGACTCCCCGCGGGCAAGGGCAGGGAGTTGGGGGAGTTGAGGCCTGCTCAGCCAGCTGACTGCTGGGCTGCAGGTTTGAGTGCCGCCTCCTGGTGACCCAGGGTCCCCTGCCCTCCCCGCTGAGAACACTCAGATGGCAGTAACTTCTCCTTGTCCTCATCATCTGAATGGAGACAGCTTGGTGGTCGTGAGGATTTTCCACAGATTTCACCCATCAAGTAACAAATGCTGATGGTGGCAGGCTCTACACAATTGCACACTTTTGTTCGTACATTGTCAGGATTTGCACTGTGGTTTCTATTGTCATCTTGATTGCCCCTTCCCAGGGGTGTCAGGCTAACCTCAAGCACTGGGAACGTTATTGTGTCTCGGTCCATCTGGCTCTCATTATATTTATGACCCACGTGTTTCTGAATTCATCAGCCCTCTCTGGTTACTTGGCTGACCTGTCCCCCCAGACCTCCCCGACTTGTTGGGTAATGTGTTTTAGTGGGGCATAGACAGTGCAGCCTGTCTCTTTCGTGATGTATTAAAGGAAGAAAGAACAAAAGAACCATCCTTCTTCTGAAATAAGTGGGTCCTAATATGAATATTGAAGACCCTAATTAATCTCAGCTCCTCTTTTATAAAGTACTCACTGAAGCCTGCTCTGCATGTGGAAGCTGCGATATAATGCTAGCCAGACTTAACTCTAGATTTAAAAAAAGGAAAGAAAAAAGGAAACGGAAAAACTAGCTGTAGTGGTTCAGAAAGTAGAAATGAAGGAAAATGCGTGCATTCCACGAAGGGAAGGAGGGCGTCCATCTGACTTTTTCCTCCTGTGTAAATGGCTCTTGTTTTGTGTATATGCACAGACTAATTGCCCAGTTTCTATTGTAAAAGGCTGTGACTTACGTAGCCCTCAGGCTGTGTATTTAAAGATGTTGGTTGGGATCTGCAGTGAACCAATAGGACTTGCGTATTTCACTTATGCCAATGACCTTTTCTTGGTTCCTCATAAAACCCAGTAAGTTGGCTGCTTTAGCTGAGCTTTCTGAAGTTCATTCATTCATCCAATCAAATATTTATTGAGGGTCCACCATGTGTCACATCCTTTCAAAATACTGTGTCTAAATTTATGTCTAATAGCTATATCTAACACCTGGGGACTCAGCTATTTATATGAACTGCTTGAGATCTTATCAACCAAGAGCGATTCTAATGCTGTCAATCACCAATCAGATTTGGGTGGTTCTCTGACATTTTGCAGTATTGTCACTGTTTGTCTCCTGTGCGAGCCCTGATGGCTTCTCAAGGAAGGTGTTTAATGCCTCCAAACAGCACTGAAGCAGCCCGTGCTGCTTGTGTTTTTAGATTGATGTGTTCACTTGGAGAAGGTCATCTATAGCTCCTCCAGTTTGGTTAAAGCAAACCCATAATGTGCTAAAAGGTTATTGCCTGGTCCTTAGAGAATGCTCTTCTTACTGGAAATATAACAGAAAGGGCTTTGGGAGAGAGGTTTAGTGGTTAGAGGATTGTTAATTCTGTTACTCTTTCCTTTTGTTCTGGAAGCTGGGAGGTGCAACAGGATCGAAGCAGTATCCTAAAACTAGAAATTGCCAATTAGAATTTTTTATTATCAGCTAGGAGCAATCAGTGTCAGCTTTTAATTTTCTGGCCATCTTAAAAAGGCTTAGCAGGTAGACACTTAACTTATGTAGCAGGTTTGTAATTTCATTTCAAGATGAAAATAATATTTATAATTATGTATTCCATAAATTAGGACAGCATGTCAAAGTCTGGTGGGAATCTACCCCCATCATACGAAATAGATTTTTGAAGTTCACGAGTTGCCTCTAGCTTCCATAATTTTCATATATCTAATATCTGTATTTTATATGTGCTTTGGTTTTTAAGAGTGCATTCAAATCTTTATGGAAATTTATAGCAAACAGGAAGCAACATTGGACTAGTAAGTGTTTGGCTTATAAAAGGCATATTGATGATTGCTATTAGATGTTTTGTTGGCAATAGAATCCAACTACTTTGCTGTGGATTAATCAAAATCTAGTAAGTTCATGGGGATAACACATAAGCAGATAGAGGCCATGGCGGGCAGTGAGCAAAAGATTTTTCGTAAGTGGCCTGAACATAAGACTTGGAGCATTTAGTAGTTGTTCAAGGCGTTCATGAAAATATCCTACAAGTCTGAGTAAATGTTCAAGAATGCATGCAATGCTGTTTTAGCTCTAATATTTGTTCCTTTAATTTGAAGTTGTGATTTTGATCTTTCAAAAGTAAATATGTAGCCAGGAGCCATGGTATTTACCTGTTATCTTAGCATGGAGGAGGCTGAGGCAGGAGGATCGCAAGTTTGAGGCCAGCCTGGACTACGTAGCAAAACCCTGTCCCAAAAAACCAAGCCAAACTAAACCAGAACAAAAAAAGCAGGTGGGGGGAAAACACATGGAAAATTTAACGTCTTTGTCTTCTGATGTAAAATATGGATTTAAGACCCAAACCAAGACCCCTGTTAAAACAGAGGCTTGCAGAACTGGATGTGAGGCTGGCTGGTGACCTCCCAGGTGGTGTGAACATCAAGGTGCACACGTGCTTCCCAGTGTGGTGCAGACAGGTCCTGAGCTTCCTCTAAGCAAGACAGATAAGCGCAGAACCTCGCATGGGCCTGACCTGGGACGGGGCGAGGCGGTGCTTTTGGGATTTCTCACTGCCACCCTCTCTACTTTGCTCTCGATTTTTTCTTGCCAGGGAAAAGTTTGTTCTTTGATGGCAGGGAGGTGACAGCTTTCTGTCTCCTCTGCAGAACGTCTGGATTCACAGCAGCCCTCTAGGGACTCCAGAATCCTGTTTCTTGGCCTCACCTCTCACTAACGACAAGCAAAGGAGACAGGGAAAGAGGGAGACTTCTGCAGTCTTTTTATTTGACAACTCAGATTTCTCCACCTCTGCACTCCAGGACGCTGCATGGGTGGTGGTGGTGGGGTGATTGGTTCTTTAACATGGGACCAGTGCTGCAGGGGTGGTGGGAGGGGAGCTGGGGAAGTCACCTAGAGGAAGGAGCAGATGCAGAGACTGTGCATCTGTGGTTTGATTCCTAAAAAGGCAACCTGCCAGGCCCCGCGGCCCAGCAGAAGATCCCAGTGCTAATCCAGTCTCCGGCAGCAGCAGGTTGAGGCTTCTCCTTTGCAGTGAGCCTAGGGGTGTGTGACCCAGTGACCTGCTCTTGTAGCCGGAGCTCCTTCCTCAGAGAATATAGGTAGGTGATCAGGCCTTTTGTTTCCGAGCAACCCTTTGTAAACTACCTTTACAGTACATTTTGTCTCTCTCTGCTGGCAGAAATCATTATTGCAGGTCGTTTTTCCATCCATCCATCCAGGAGTTTTGTGACCCTGGGTCACAAACCTGAGCCGCTGGTGTCACTAATTTGTGCAATTAATGCAAATACGATAAACGGTTTTGCTTTCATGGGCAATATATCATTGAAAGATACTCTTTAGACCTGGGTGACTATGTCTTTTCGCTCAAAAGCCGTCGGAGGAGGACCTTGTTTACCAAGCAATATTTCTGTTGAAGTGACCCCTACACCACATGTAGTTTATTATACCACGCATGCTGGATTTAAGGAACCTGTTCATCGTCATCAAACATGGTGTCATGAGAAATGACCAAGGGTGTAGCTCAGTGGTACAGCTCTTGTCTGACGTGCTCAAGACTCTAGGTTGAATCCGAGCACTAGAAATGAAAAGGGCACCTCGAGTGGCCTTCCTGTCTCACTGTGGGTCTGCGGTGTGGCTCATAGGTCTGGTTGTGCGTTTGGTATCGATGAGACCCTGTGTCCCCATGTTGGACTCTGGCTCCTTCCAATGTGAGCAGGGACTTTTCTGCTAATCCTTTTCGCCTTCAGCTTTGTGCTCCACTTCCCTTGTTGATCTCTCCTTTCTAAACATTCTTTCTTCCCAGGGCTTCCATTGCCCTGAACTTTCTTTTTATTTTTATTTTTTATTTTTTTGTCTTTTTCCTTTTTATCGGTACCGGGGATCACTCACGACTGCCTGCTTTACAAGGCAGGCGCTTATGCCGCTGAGCTAAATCCCCAGCCCCTGCCCTGAACTTTGTAAGCTCTTCTGTTCCTTTGAAGTCACTGCCTCTTTTCCTCCTTATTTCCTTTTCCTCTTCTTAGCCTCACATAGATGTACTTTTGCATTTCATTTCTAGCTCTGTATTCATCTGGAAAAATCCAGCTTTCCTGCTCACCTCTTTCTGGAGAGATGGCTGTTGGTGTCACCTCTCCACCCGAAGGTCACCTGGGCTATTCTTCTCAATCTGTAGCTGCACCAAGCTGCTCTTTGGGGTCTTTTCTGTCACCTCACACTAAGCACATTCAGGGCGACACCTGCTGTTCATCACTTCTGTCCCTCATCCCCTCATACTCGCCCCACTAGTGACTTTTTGTTCTTGCTCCTATTTGGCTTCCAGTTCCTCTGCCTACCCTCCAGAGCTGTCTCTTCCTTCCCATCTTCACTGCTAAGACTTTCAGCTCAAGCTTCTGTGGTTTTTATGCATATGGGGTATTGCTGCATTCTCTTACTGGTCCCTTGTGTCTTGTCTGCTTGGATCTTAGAAATCTGCTTGTTTAGAAACCTCTAGTGGTTTTCTGATTGCCCAGAGAAGTCGGCATGTGAAGTCCTTTATATGCAGCACCCACTACGTTCTTCTTCCCCTAGCACAGATGATAATCAGGTGCACTGTGTGGAAGAGGACCTCCAGCACTGCTTCAGAAAGGGTCAAAATGATGTGATAAGTGTGTCTGAAGTGAGGGGGGTTATTTTAGGGGGATTCATGGAAATGCCTCTTTTCTGTAATACATTTTCTTTTTTTTAAAGATAGGGTCTCCTATGCAGTTTAGGCTGGCCTTGAGCTCACTTTGTAACCCATGCTGGTCTCAAACTAACAACAATCCTCCTGCCTCAGCCTCCTAAGTGCTGGGATTACAAGAGTGCACCACCATGCCTGGCTTGTAATACATTTTTTGAAACAGCTTTTTGTCACACCTCCTAGAGCATTCTCTTGATAATTCCCTCTTTTTATCTCCGAATCCTGCTTCCCATCAAGGTCTGGCTCCTGTACCCCGTCTCATAAAGTCTCACCCTGCTGCTCTCTTGTAGTTACAGGCACATGATTTGCCATGGTGGTAGCAGAATAGCCTTTGCATTATGGTCTTGCTATTTAATCCTTGTACTTTTGTTTAATCTTTTGCAAGCGTCTGTTGCAAATTGTAGCTTCAAACAGGACCTATACACAGCATTCTAGAGATGCTTGTGGAATTGGACTGGTGGCATCATCGGTATAGTCCTGGGTCAGACATGAGCTCCTCTTGTTCACCCACATGATGTCTCTTCACTGTCCTAGGTGTCACATTAACCGTCTCATGTGTGTCCCTTATCTGTGTTTTAGCTACAGATCCCTAGTGTAAAGGGCTTCGATTTTGCCAAGCAGCATCTGGGTCAGCACAATAAAGATGATGTATTGATTATTCATGAACCAGCGCCACTGCCAGGACCTGTGAAGGACCATACCACGCCCTCAGAAAATGGAGACGTCCCAAGCCCCAAGTCCAAGATCCCTTCTAAGAACATCCGCCACAGAGGAAGGTTATTACCGGGCTTTCTGGGTTATTCTGTGTCTCAGAGCATGTTTCTGGTTTCAGGTTCTCAGTTTCCAATATCCGAAGTGCTGATGGTGTGACCCTGGTGAGGAGCCCAGTCACACATGGATCCAAGGGCTTCATGTCCGTTCTACTGAACTAGCGATTCCCTCCCCAAAATGTTAAAGACTAGAAAGTACCACGTGTGAAGGTTTGACGGTGCCTTTAGGCTCAGTTCCCAGCAAGTGTTGCCTTCTGTGCCCTTGCCTGTGGCGCCAGTGCCTGCGGATGACTTTGCTGCCGCTGTCTGCAGGTGACCTTCACCGTGTCCTCCTTTTTGCTCTGGTTTTCCCCAGCTGCCTGTGCCATCACTTTGTTAGTCGACTGGACAGGACTCCTCCCACCTCTTCCCTGCCCATCTCCCTTTGCCTGATTAATTCCGTTCCCTCTGTGAGAGCAATGGAGAGAATCACTCATTCATTTTCAAACCACCGGACAGCCCCATGTTACCCTCTGAAGCTGTGAGGTGCACTGGAGCTCAGCAGAAGACAAAGTTCAGAATCAGGTCTTGGGACAGTGACCGTGGGTTATAGCACTGCCAGGCTTTGGCCGCTGGAGACTCTGATTATGAGCTTTTTTTTGAGCTTTGCATCCCTACCTGCTGATCTGCTACTAAGTGGGAAAAAGTATGCGGCAAAACCAACATTCAAAACCATGTCATTTCTGTCTTATCAGAAAACCTACTCATGGGGCCTGGCCTAGTTTTAACAACATCCTGGATATTAGAGCATAATTGTCAGGAAAGAAAATGAATCATGTAGAGCGATGCTGTTTACTTAATTATTTTGCAAGCTAAGAATAAACCAAATTACTAAAGTTGATTTAGTGTGCTAGTAAATTTTGCAAAATATTTCTTTTCTCCTGGTAACCTTACCATGAATATTTAGTCATATCACCTTGGTGATTAGTATTGGGTACAATATTTGCATACAGTTGTCCGGCTGTACCCTCAGCTTCCATATCTGTGAATTTCACTGATTACAAATCAAAAATATTTAGGAAAAAAATTGCATCCTCACTGAACGTGTGCAGACTTTTTTCTTATCATCATTCCCTTGGCAGTAAGACATACAGTATTTACATTGTATTAGGTATCAGAAGTAGCCTAGAGAAGGTATAAAGGGTACAGGTGGGTAGGCACAGGTTCTGTCAAATACTGTGACATTTTATATGAGGGACTTTGAGTATCAACAGATTTCGGGTGTCTGTGGGGCCCCTGAAAGCAATGCCCCATGATACTGAGGGATAGCTGCATATCTCAGTATCCCTTGGGGCCTCAGAATTTCTTACTACTTTATACTGCTACAAAAGCCAGAGCCTGGATATATAGGGTGTGCTAACTGATTAAGATTTTGCCGAACTTGGTGTGATCTGGTCAGCACAATACCCTTGATTTTTTAATAAAGATTCTAATCTTGGTAGGGGTTATTACTCCAGAATTATCTATGTGGGCATCTCTCAAAGATCTGGAGTTGGGGTGACTGCAGAGCCAATCCTTTGGTTTATTCTTAGATGGCATCCTAGAGAGTTTCAGGCCCCATGGACCCCAAGTCCAGACTCTAGATTCTTTTTGATCCAACATGAGTGAGCTTGAAGGAGACTGCCTGGCTAGGTATGACCTGGGGCCAGAGCTGGGCCTTGGGCCCGCAGCGCCATGGGATACCCTCCAGTCTGTGGTGTGGTTTCCTAGCATCTGAATTGTAGCCGGCTAAGTTGCTAGGCAAACAGCATCCGTCTGTCATCAGGGTGTGGTAACGCTGGGGCAGTGTCAGTGTGACCCTTAGATTGCTTCATTTTACCAGTTTTGCTTGGAAGCTTGACTTCCATATTGATGCGACCTTTTGTTTTTGCTTTTTTTGTTTGTAATGTGTTAATTTTTGTTTTGTGTCTACAGAGTTTCCCCCTCCGATGCGGACTCTACAGTCAGCGAGGAGTCCAGTGAGAGGGACTCGGGAGATAAGGCGCCAGCAGCAGTCCCTGAGGGCAGGGCCCACCGCGCCCCACAGAGCGGTCTGTGACACCCACTTTCTCTGTGTTAAAGTACCCATGAGATACCCACAGGCCTTGGTTTTAAGCCAAGATGCTAAATCTTTTTTATTTGTTTTTAATCTGTGAAACGAGATATGCATGTGAATTTCATGTGTATTCATGTGAGTTTCTCAGCATCAGTTGTCACCATGGTGCATTGTGTTGTGGTCTGCTTTGAGGTGAGGACTCTGTGCAAGGTTTGGGGTCACTGAGGTGCGTCTTGGTATCCTTGTTGAAGTCTAGAGTAGAACCCAGTGATTTTCCTATGAAGGACAGGGAGGAACTGAATGGAAACCATAGTCCTAGCATCCAGCCCCACACAGCAACTTTCTTAGGAGCCAATTCAAGGAGCTGTCACTGTCAGGGTCAGAAAGTCCGGTCCATGCCCAGTGCGTGGGCCTGTTGTTATCTCTGTCTTCTGCAGGCAGTGTGGTGTGAGCAGGTGGCTGCAGATTGGGGTCAGAAAGGGTGGTGGAGGCCAGGCATGCAGTGAACTTCATTCCCTTTAAAGGTCATTACCATGGGACCATGCACTGTAACAAAACTATGCCCATGGCGCTCTGTAGCCGTGGGAGCGGGTTTGGAGTGAGGGAAAGATAGCTCAGTTTTCCTGCTAAGTAAAGTATCAGTCAGCTGTTGCATTGACTGGAGCTCTATTTATATGTCAGGGTTGTGTTTCAGTAATGCAAAGATAATTGGAAAGCTTTGCATATTATTTGAAATAACAGTTTTTTATAGTTAGACTGTTAAAAATCACAACTATCCCAGTATGAAGGTGCAGCAGAGGGAACTATTTCTTATTGCTTTCTATAAGTGAAGAGATTCTGGGCCGAAACCAGAGGTCTCTTCTATCCCTGACATTCCTATGGCCTTCCATTAGCCTCTGAGTCTCCTGGGGGGATGAACTGCCCTTCCTTGGGGACCCCTTCCAGCTGATTCTTTTATAATCTTCAGATCATACCCTCCTTAGAAGAAGGAAAGAGCTTTTTCTTTGGATTCAGTTTCATAGACTCTTAAAAATTACTTAGCACCATGGTAACAGGTGCCATGTTTCAGACAGGATTAAAGTTGAGTTTTAATCTCGGGAAAGAAATGTTTGCAGGGAAAAGGACAGTAGGTTTTCTCAGTATCTGTTCATCATTTGCCTGAGAATATCGTGCGTTTAGTGGCCACACTTGACTCTTTCTGAGAGTGTCACAGCCCTGATGCTCATCTGTGTTCTTCAAGGCTAACAGAAATCAAGAGCCGCTCAGCACACGTGTGGAAGTCAAGTAGCAGGCGCTTGGGCGGCAGGGGCAGCAGCTGACTGTGCAGGAGAAGGGCCTCAGACGCTGCTGTCCTAATTAGGAAGGACCCCGAGTCTGTGCATTGCTTTCATGGTATAGAGGGCTGGCTTTTCTCACTCTGTGTATCAATGTACCTTACATCATTTCCTTTTTAAAAGGTGCCAGAAGATAGCTTTAGTGTTTCTGGAAAGGTACTTTTTGCTTGCATACAACCTCATTAAACATCATATAAGATAGATTCTTAGTTTTTCTCACAGCTTTTGAGTTATCCCATAATTCACATAAAAATGCATTTGTTAGTGAGTCAAACAATAAAAATCACTGGAGGCAGGGGACCATGTGAGAGCCATCCCTACACCCTCCTCTGTGTCACCGTGGGACTGGCACCTGTCTCAGCCACCAGCTCGCTCTCTCTAGAGCTCTTGGCAAGGCGTCTGACAGCTGTCCGAGGTTACTGGCATTTTAAGTCCCTCCTCCCACCCCCTCTGCACTGGATGCTCAGAAAAGACGGCTGTTTTATTTCTGGTAGATTTGAGGTTGTGCTTTCCTGCCTGCCCAGCTGTTCCTGGGAAGTGACCAGACCCTCACAGGTACCTGTGTGACTGTGCAAGCGTACCTCAGGGGTTCCACAGCCACGTACCACTGTGCTCACACCGACAGGCACTAAGATGAGTGGCCTTAGTGAGGAGAGGACAGGAGGGGTGACCGAGGGGAGGCATGTGACCTAAAGTGGTGGCAGCTGCACTGCCTCCATCCTGACTGGCTTTTCTCTGCCTTTCTCTTGTCACTGGGAGCAGCCAAGGATAGCAGAATGCTGGGTGTTTCTGTTGTGCTGTCCTTGGGGTATGATGTGAAGTTTGTGGTTTTTAAGTTGAGACTTCATTCATTTGAACTCTACAAAGTTCATCTGAACTCCAAGAATTTCATATGAGAACTAAGCCAACATTTACTTTTGCACCTGCTAAAGACTTTGCCAAGCTAATTAATATACGCAACTAGATTTACTACGTGTAACACCCAGTTATAGGTATCTGAGGAATTTTGGAGCACCTGTTTGTAAAATGACTGGCATTATAAAGTCTAGTTACTGTCTTTTCACTAAGGCTGATTCCCAGACCCTTTTTCAAGAGAAAAACCTTACAAACTGAGTTGAGGTGACTATAGTCAGTCAGTCAGTGATCCACGCGTTGTTTGCTGAGCACCTGGGATGCTTTAGCTTCAGGGGACAAAGAACATGACAGGGAAGTGTGATTGCTGTTTCACAGGCATGATTGTGGGCCACCAGCATTGGTGATCATGCGATTTGCTGCATTTATTTGCAGATAATGCAGGAATGATTCCTTAAAGACCTCTGTTGCTAAAGCATTTCTGCAGTGCCTTTTCCTCTTTCTGTTTGGCTGGAATGATCCTATTCAGTCTTGTATTATGTCCTTTTGGTGGGGGTGGGGAGTGCGGTTTAAGTAGAGAAATTTATTTTGTTTTCTTTTAAAATGCTTACTTGTTTTAACTTACAGGATGTCAGTGTGTATATTTATGGTTACCACAGGATGTGTATACTGTACAATGGCTTAGCCGTCTATTCAGCACGAGATAGCTCCCATGACTACCATTTTTTGTGTGGTGAGAAGACCGAAGGTCTACTTACTTAGCAATTTTTAAATATCACAATATTGCAATGAATTCCAGCCACTGTGATGTGTAGTAGATCCCTTGATCATGTAGTGTAGTTTCTACCATTGCTTTAGAACACTAATACTGGCAGAGAAAGGGGTTGTAATCCAAAGTCCCTGTTTGCTGTCGTCAGGACTCATGCAGTGTTAATCTGTCGTGCATCCATTTCTCCTCATTGAGTATCAGTAGCTTCATGGGCCACCCTGAGTGGCACTTGTGGCCCCTTTAGAAGTTTGGATCAGCGAGACCAGTCTATCAGGCAATGTAGGGTATGCAGAGCTGCTGTGGGGGACAGGCAGTAGCCGGCTGGTTGGGGTGGCACAGACAGGTTCCCTGCAGGCTGGGGCAGGCAAAGAACTACTGCTGCCCCTTGTTGGGCGACTCAGGGCTGTAATAAATAATTTCTAGTTGTTTCGGATAACATTATAATTCAGATGTGTAGAAAATACGAAACCCTACATAGCACTGATATGCATCCCTTATTTTAATTATCAACCATGTCTGGGTGGGCACTTACGCCACTGAGCTAGATCTCTGGCTTATCAACTATTTCTTATTGCTTTTCCAGCTCTTGGTCTTTTTTTATACCAAAGAGAAACTTCTACATTTTTCACTTTTTTTTTTTTTTTGTCTTTTTGAGACAGGGTCTTGCTATGCAGTTCAGGCTGGCCTTGAGCTCACTTTGTAGCCCAGGCTGGTCTCGAACTCGCAAGGATCCTTCTGCCTCAGCCTCCCGAGTGCTGGGATTACAAGCATGAGCCAGCAGGCCCAGCCATTTTTCACTTTTGCTTGGGGTTTCAAACCTTCGGCTTTTGTTTAAAAACAGTGTCTACTGCTTTCACCTCTGTGGTTGGCTATCATTTTAAAGCAGGAGCAGACAGTGGCTTAGGAGAGCCAGGGAATCTGCTGGTCTCAGTTTGGCTGCACAACTGTCCACCTAGTCACTTCCTTTCCCTCTCTCTCCTACTTTTTAAAAATTGAAACCAATTGCGATTATTTCTCCTATAGGCCATGCTCACTAGAGAAAAACCTCATTGTAGGAAATTGGAAAAATGAAAGAGCATTCATTATACCAGGACTCAGTCTTTGTTAACATTTTAAAGTGTTTTTTCCGTTTTTTTCCTGCACATTTAAATTTCCTCTTTTACAGAGATATTATTGCCTTAAAAAATTATCATAGTAAAATATATATAACGTAAAAATTATCCTTTTAGCCATTTCTAAGTGTGCTGCCTAATCTCTTTTTAAAGTGGAAATGAATTCCTTTCAGGCAGCAGGCTTTTTTTCTCATGCTTCTTCAACTTTTCTTTCCATACCCCAAGGTGAGGAGCCATCCTTGTTAACTGGTGCACGCCACATGCCCCTAGTTCCGCTGCCATTTGGTGACTCAGCTATAAAGGCCGTATCCACGGGTTCCACGTGTAGCTGGCCATGAGGCAAAACTAGTCAGAAAAAAACTGCATCTGTCCTAAATATGTGCAGACTTTATTTTGGCAATGACTTCCTAAATGGCAACTGTTTGCACAGCTTTTACATTATGTTTGAGTTACAGGAATCTAGAGGTGACTGTCAGGGTGTGCACAGGTTATGTGCAGACGCGGTGCCGTTTTGTAGCAGTGACACAGGTGCACTATCTGCAGGGTCCTAGCAGAGAACTCAGCTCACAACAGACTGACAGTACTCTTGCAAGCTCCCTGCAGGTGCCAGGGGAGGTTCAGAGCTGTGGCAACATCCTGTAAAATCTCTTACTGACCATCAGAGCGATTCTAGGCTCTTCCTGTTCTTCACTTTTCTCAATGGAGATTTAAACCACATTTAGACAAAACAGGTCAATTTTTTAGAGTATAATAATGATTCCTACACAGCTTTCCTGAAATGACTCATAGTTCTTAATGGAGCTAACAGAGACGGTATTTAACCCTGACCATTTCAATTTGAATAGAGAAATTTCAAGTACACAAGAACCTTGGTTTGCAATGAAATTCATTCTAGAAACATGCTCATAATCCAAAACTGTTGTATATCAACATGAATTTCCCCCTAAGAAATCATGGAAACTCAGATGATTCATTGTACAACTCCAAAATATTCATATAAAATAAATGATTAGAATAGTATGATATAATACAACATTATAAAAAAATACAAAATATAAAGAAAAATAAAGTAACTGTACTTGTCTTTGAAAACTTTCATGGCTTGTGTGAGGGAGACAAGAGAGAAGAGGGTTATTGTATAAGAACAACTTTTGCCATCACTAAGGGAACCACTGCTATTTCCTCAATGGGATCTTTTTCTTTTCATGCACCTTTAATAAGAAACCTATCTAGTGACACTTGGCTTTTGCCTCCTTTTGAGGCTTTCATACAAACGTGCCATTGCATTGTCATTAAACGGATTCATCTCTGGTACTGCTACAGCTTTATTTGGGTGGTGCTTTACTACACATTTTGCACTGCTTCCCCCATTTTAAACATCTCCCTAATCTCATTTCTGAGATTAGGAATCTCTCTCTGATTCCTCCCTCTTCTACAGAGGCTGTCGCCCCTCCAGGTCCAGAGAAGAGTCAGAGACAGAGAGAGCATGAGAGAGCGAGTGCATTGGCTCGGTTGTGATCATGTGACATTCAGTCATGTGTTCCTCACTGCGATCCATGGCTTGTTTATGCAGTTACAATGTCTTAGAAATGTTTGCTCATCTTGCAGAGCATCTCAGAACTAATTACTCACAATCCAAAGCTTTACTGTACTCTGCTACCCGCATCAGCATGTATTTTTGATTAGAGGCCTCATCTGAGGATTCTTTCAGAAACACTCTTCAGTGTTGCCTCTTTAGGATAACTTTGGGTTTGTTCCTCCATTCCAGGCCCCCGGCTGCCCAGTTCCGGGGCAGAGCAGCATTCCTCAGCCTCCATTTTTGAGCACGTGGACAGGATTTCCCGCTCCTCAGAGGCCAGCCGGCAGGTCCCGAGTAAGATACAGCTCATCGCCATGCAGCCCATCCCAGCGCCCCCGGTGCAGCACCCTATCCTGACTGACCGAGTGGCAGAAACCAACAAAATCAACAAAGAGGTATTTGCTTTTATTCAAAAGCATGTTAATAAAGTCCCCTTTCTGATTTGGTCAGTGCTTACAGACAAATGAAAGGTCCAGTGTCTGGTGGTCACAGATGGCATGGGCTTCCTTGAAAACACCGTGCTTGGTTTCCAAAGACCAGGTGGTAGCCAAGGTGTTGTTAGACACAGGTGCAGAAGGGAGTTACAGCCACAACCCGCACCTGGTGTCCATACATCTATTTGGGTCTTGCTATTTGGTTGTGGAGGTCTGGTTTAGGTCCTGTGTGGCCAGCAGTGATGCTTCCCAATATGATGACGGCTGGCCTCAAGCTCCTATACATCCTCCTGTCCCAGTGTCCCATGTGCTGGGTTTACAGGCCTGTGCCATCACACCTGGCTTGTAGGTCTTATTTTAAGTATCTCTAAAAGTAGTGGTATGATTGGGTTTGATAAATACTCTGTTCTTGGAGGATATTTTGTATAGAAGTCTTCTGGGTTGTCCATGGCTGATTTCTAAATTTCAAGTGAATTTCTCCCACTGTGGGGAAGGAGAAGCCAGGACTCCAGGCCAGAATAAATCTCTGTGCCCATCCTCTGTCACCTCCCTTGGTGCCTTCCTCAAACCTAGGGACAGCACGTGCAGGGTAGGGAGAGGAAGGTACCCCACCAGGCTTTGTCCAGTGTAGGCCCAGGCGTGCCCTATCTGTCACTGTCCCCTGCTGCCTGTCCCTAGATCCAGACTGCTCTGCGGCACAAGTCGGAGATCGAGCACCATCGCAACAAGATCCGCCTGCGTGCCAAGCGCCGTGGCCACTATGAGTTCCCGGTGGTAGACGAGCTGTCCTCAGGTGACACCAAGGAGCGGCACCGTGTGTACCGCAGGGCGCAGATGCAGATTGATAAGATCCTGGACCCCACGGCCAGCGTGCCCTCTGTGTTCATCGAGCCCAGGAAGAGGTGAGACCTCAACTGAGACCAGGGCAGAGGGGACCCAGCTGTACCCTGGGTCCAGGCAGCAGGCCTGCCTGTGCTCGTGAAAGTCAGGAGGAGATGCAGGGTTCTGCACCACCACTGCCCCTGTCCCTCCTGGCCTTGGCCCTGCATGTTCTCCAGGACCAGTCAGGCCACCTTGGGGATTAAGGGGCCGCCTGTCCTTTCCTTTTCTGGACACCTGTGCACCTCTGTGGAATTGAAGTGCCTGGTTGTTCTATGGTCCGATTGTTGTTAGGTCTGTCCAGCAGGCTCTGAGCATCCCTGGAGACTGGGCAGTGGCTGCTGGCTGCCTGCCCCTGGGGTGTGTGGCCAGCACCTTGCAGGTAGGCAGAACACACGCAGGGTTCAGTTGATGAGCTGGTAGCAAGACGGCTGTTGCTTACAAAGATGATTCCTGCTTTTCCTGGCAGCTCACGGATAAAACGTTCCCCGAAGCCACGGCGGAAACACCAGGTCAACGGCTGTCCGGCAGATGCTGAGAAGGACCGGCTCATCACCACTGATAGCGATGGCACCTACAAGCGGCCGCCCGGCGTGCACAACTCGGCCTACATGGGCTGCCCGGTGCGTAGTGCCTGCCCTTTGTGAGAGGGGTGGGCTGGTGACTTGGGGCACAGTCTGGACGGAGGAGAGGGTGAATGGAGTGGGTGGCTGCTGGTGAGGGGCTATAGACATTAGGACCAGTTGGGCCGGGCCCACTCCTGGTGGAGACAAGTCATATCACCTGGATGCTGTGGGTAACACCTCAGGAAACACATCCTGGGCTTTCCTTTCTGTGTGCAAGCCCTGTCCTCAGCCTTAGGGTGTAACATAGTAAAGAGAGAGAAATGTCCAGGTTGATTTTCCTCCCCAAGTGGGACGGCCATGTGGGTTTCCTGGTTAAAAGAAGGCTGTGTAGGGCTTTACCTGCCACCCTGCCTCTAGTGCTAAGAAGAAAGTGCATTTGTCCAGTTTAGTAAGCCTTCACCAAAGTACTGGGACCAGAAGTGTTTCAGATTTGGGATTTCTTTCTTTGAATATTTAAGCATCCCTAATCTGAAGTCCAGAATCCAAACTTCTTCCAAATCCAAAACAGCATCATGTCAGAGCTAAAAAAAAAAAATCAGAGATTTTGGAACATTTCAGATTTTCAGTTGAGGAACACTCAGCCTTTGTACACAGACATGCCTCTGTTTAACAGCCTCCCTGTTTAACAAGTGTACTTGAGGTGTGCTGTTTGGTTTTGACAGTCACCACTGAGATTATGACCTGCAGTTGGACCTAGTGTGCAGGGACGTGAGCGGCAGTGCAGCCTCATGTTGGCTTCTTCTATAGCACAGTACCGCGCTCTTTGCTGACTGTGCTGTGCAGGACAGTACTGTAGTTCTGTTCTCTGTTGTACATCACAGTACTGCACGTAAAAGTGATGCAGGTAAAAGCAAAGTCTTCAGGTTGGAGTTTCCTCTCACCATCTCTTAGCTCTGAATATTGAAATGTACACACTATATACAATTCCTCACTTATCAACCAGTTCATTTAATGGCCTAGTTATGGGACTGAAACTTGGACTTTAAATGAGGAATGTCTGTATATTTTAAAAATTTTTTACAGGATAGAGAACTTAGTGAGAGGTAAGAAATACAGAATTACCCATTTCTTCCCTGCTAAAAGGACCACAGTTCAGGGCAGATACTGATAGTATGAAGACACACAGGCTCAATGGGAGGGAGTGAGCCAGCTCCTGAGGGGGTGTGAGGATCACAGAGCCCTCTGAGGCACCGCCTGAGGCCTGGTCCTCCTGGGCACAGACACACAGAGCCCCCGAGGGTTAGCAAAAGGTGCTTGCTGGGGCAAAGCCATTGTGCTGTGCCCGTGACTTTAGCCAGCATTCAGGGAATCAGATGTTTATTTAAGGGTTTTTTTTCTCCTAAATTAAACAAATAACACTGAAAAATGCTCTGTGTCATTTCACAAGCACACCTCACACCGCACTACTGCCTACAGCTCAAGCCTGTTTCAGTAAACATATTGAAATTTCATGCAAGAAAGCCTTGCCTGTTTGCAGTTATCTGTGGCAGCTTCTGTGGAGATGAGGGGTTCTGACAGAGACTGTATGACTCGTGGAACCGAAATATTTATTGTCTGATTCTTTTCTAAAAAAAATTTATAAAAGTTGGCAGAGTGGCATGGACTCATAGTCCCAGCTACTTGGGCAGCTGAGTCGGGAGGATCATTTAAGCCCAGGAGTTTGATTTCAGCTTAGGCACTACAACAAGATCCTATGTCCAAAACAAAACCACTTGTCAGGCCCCGATGTCGTTTAGCCAGATTTTGTGAGTGTGTGTGTGTTTTGTGATGGTAGCTTACTATGTCTTTCAGGCTGGCCTTGAACTTACCCTTGTAGCTCAGACTGGGCTCGAGTTCACGGTGACTCTCCTGCTTCTGTTTCCTGCGCTTGGGATTACAGGCTTATGCCGATGCACCCAGTTTTCTGAGCCAGATAGTTTGGAAATTGAGAGGAAATGCTCTTGATTGCTAAACTAGGCAGCAGGAATAGACCGAGGTTGGCCTGGGAAAACCACAGTGTACGGTTGCTCTAATAATGGCCCATAAAGTATTCTAGATCGGCACAAAAATGGTCTAATCTTTGCTGCCTAAAAGTAAAAAGGCTCATCTGTATTTCTAGAGGAGATAAATCAATGTGTATCTGTACAAGCAAACAACACTGAATCGTAAGACAATTTTGCAGCTGGGATTCAGAATGGAATTCAAATCCTGACTTACAGATCCTGGGTCAATCCTCTCTTCACTCACCATTGGGATTCCATTCATGAGTTAGCAATGTTGGGATATGGAAAATGCCAAAGACCCCTTGGCATCCAGCTGTGAGGGTCTAGCCTGGGAAAATGACCAGGCAGAAGGAAAACAAAAGGAGGCCTGACTTCGTGGCTCACTCTGGCCATCTTGCCAGGGATTTGGGGTCAGTGGGACTTGGAGGGAACCGACCTTCCCATCCTCAGAACCGTCCCTGGGACAAGATTGGCATTGGCAATGGCTGTGGCTAACAGGACTCTGGGTGTGCGTGAGAGCAGATGCCTTCTGTGCCCATTCTGCTTGTACCCTTGCCGTACGGAGACATGGCCAGCCACAGGGGTCACTGCCCGGGCATCGCTTATAGCTTTGGAAACGAAGCTTTTGCAGGTGGGGTATTGTCCTTCCAGGCATGTGTTTCCTTCTCGCCACCTGCAAATTGTTAGATGGTTGTCCGCTGATAGCCAGGCTTCATCTTTCCCTCCAGAAAACCAGTGTTTTTGGAGGAGATATAAATAGGGCCTTGGCCCACCTTATCAGAAAAGGAGCTTGGGTTTCTTCCAGCATCATAAGCAGAATCTTTTGGGCAGCCTTAGAATTCCTAGATGACAGATAGCATCAGGGAGCCTTTACTGGAATGTTATTGATTTGGTGAAACAGACCCACAGGACCAGGCCTGAAGAGTGAGCTCACCAAAAAATGCACGGGCCCCACCTCCAGGGGGCAGCAGCTCTCAACAGTTAGTGGGCTTTTTCTCTGAGTTGAGGGCTGGGTCTCTCTGGGGCCTCAGATTCTGCCAAGAGAATCCAGAAATCTGAATGTTCATGTGAAGCAGATTTAAGATTTTTTAAGATACTATCTTATTTTTTTTTTAAGACTGGCAGGGCTTGTTGGTTCATGGTTGTAATCCCAACACTCAAGAGGCTGAGTCAGGAAGATTGCTATGAGCTTGAGGCCAGCCTGGGGTATATAGTGAGTTGAAGGCCAGTCTGAACTACTCAGCAGGATCCTGTCTCAAAAAAAAAAAAAAAAAAAAAAAAAAAATTTATGGCAGCATTTATTTTATTACATGGTATCAGGAAATAAGAATTTTAAAATTTAATTGTGGCTTGTATTCCTGCCTCTTAAACAATGAGCATATAAAGGTTTAAATCTTTCTTAATGATTCATGTTATCCAGAGATACCACCCGTTTAAAGACAGTTTTTGAATAATCTATCACACATAGCTGTCATAGTGGGTACTGTTAATATACATAGTAGTTTTATTATGGGGATGAGCTTAGCCTCTTTTAGAGATATATAGGGCAGTGTTTTTTTACTTTTTTCTTTTTTGTGGTGCTGAGGAGTGAACCCAGGGTCTTGTTCATCTAGGCAAGTGCTCTACTGCCAAGCTCTATCCCCACCCAGTTGGTTTTCCCTACTGCTAACAGTGAAAAGACTGTGACACAATGCAGTTTCTATGTCCATGGAATGTTTAGTAGGGTTTTTTCGTTTTGAGCCCATGCACTTAGAAATGTGTTTTTCTGGTGCCTAGGCTTTCAGTAGAAATGTTACTACCAGGTCCTAAAATGCATGTCAGATAGTTGAGTTTTACTGGAAAAAAAATTTTTGACCATTCCCACTTTTTTCCTAATTCCAGGCATTATCCTTCTTAAAATGGAATGCAGGTTTTGCAGCTGTCAGTTTAAGCTTCTGATGCTATGCTGTTCCCTAAATATCCGGAACATTGTAAGATTCCACTCTGGCCCTAGAGCTTTGTCTTAGTCACCATGGAAGCTCACACCTGCTTGTCCCTTTGCTGTTTCCCTGCCACAGTCGGATCCCGACCTCCCGGCTGATGTGCAGACGCCGCCGTCCTCCACCGAGCTGGCCCGGTACCCTGGCCTCCCCTTCCCAGCCTCGCAGTACATCCCGCCGCAGCCGTCCATCGAGGAGGCCCGCCAGACCATGCACTCCCTGCTGGACGACGCCTTCGCCCTTGTGGCTCCCAGCAGCCAGCCCCCCAGTGCAGCAGGCCTGGCGGGCCTACCCCCGAACAGCAACCCTTCCCGGGAAGACAGAAGAGCCACCCAGTGGGGGTCCTTCTACAGCCCAGCACAGACGACCAGCAACCCCTGCAGCGTGAGTACTCCCCTTCAGCAGGCTCTGGGGGCAAGGGCTTCGAGTGGCTGGCTCCTCGAGAATTCTGTCAGTCTCATCATCTTCTGTCACACTGGCTGCGGGCTTTTATGCAGCTTTGCTGTTTTGTTCTTCAATGTGTGCAGGGGGATTTTTGTGGAAGTATCCTTTTGGCTCTCTGGCACTGTCATGAAGTGGAGGTGGGTTAATTCAAAACATATTCTCAGTTCTGGGTCCCTCAAAGGAGCTGTGAAGGATGTGCCCATGGTGTTCAATTTGAGTGACCACTCGGGCCTGGAGGGGGCCCTAGACTCGGGGAAGCCACTGGGGAACAGTAGCTTCCTGTCCTGAGAGCTGACCTTTTCATCCCCTCTGTTACCATTTACATTTCTTATGTTTAGTCAGTCTTTGCAAATTTACTTTCGTAAGGCATAGAGAAGAAACTCAAGGAAGAAAAGTTCATATGATTTTTGCTAATTTCAAAAGTAAATGGAATTGAACAATTTATGTATGACTTATTAACTCTGGAGAGACGTTAATAAGTCACAATTTAAATTATTAGTGAGGGAAGTTTGTACTGGCTTCTTCTGATGTTGTTAACTGTATCAAGGTAGACTTAGGTGACAAATACAGGTTTAGAAAATTTGGGTCTCTGAAACTGGTTGGAATTTTCGAAGGAGGCCCTTATAGTATATCGTTTCCCTCAAAATATGTGAGTACTAATTCCTGGGGTGCGAGTAACTGCTACCTGGTAGGGCCAAATACCATTCAATCTAATCAGTTACTGTGTTTAATCTGAAAGTATAACTTGGTGTAATAATAAATATTACCCTAGTCCAAGATGGAAACTGGTAGCTTATAATCTTTGAGGAAATTGATGGTACACGAAAACAAACAACAAAAAGCTTAGTAATATAACAAATGTGGAGACATCTGCTCTCTGGTCACTTTAAACTTTTTCTGTCCATTCATTCCCATGGTTACAGGCCTCCTGCTGTGTTCAGGACCCTCTGGGGGTTGGGATATGGTGGGGGACACCATGGGCCCCTGCTACCTGGCTTTTGTGTCTGGCAGAGGCTGTGCGAGCAGCCTGAACAGTAGCTCTGCTGTGGTGTAGTCAGCACTGTCCTGGGAGGACATTGAGGGAGCACCTAGCCAAGCTGTGAGAAGTTGGGAAAGGACTTTCTGACTTCAGTATCAGGCAGCAAGGGAAGGGAGTTAAGTCTTACCGTTCTCTTGGCATCTGTTGGGAGAGAGTTTCTAACCACGTGCAGGGAAGGGGCCCCTGATGAAGCTGGAGACCCAGGGAGAACAGACAGCTGGAACCCACATTTGAGGGGTGGGCGGGTGAGCAGACAGATGCCTGAGAAGGGGTCTATGGAGAATTGTCATCTGGGTGCTGAGCCGGTCACTGGGGAAGGAACGACCCAAGACTGGGGCAAGAAAACACCCAAAAGAGCAGAAGGAATAGTCTGAGCTCACAGAGGCCTGGAATAAGCTCTTGCTGCTAAATGAACTGTTACGCTCCCAAGTCAGGTACTATATGTATACTGCGGACAGGGCCTTTAAGGAGATGACTAGGATTCAGTGAGCCCTGAGGGTGGAGCTCTGATCCCAAAGAAGTATTGCCCTATGTGAAGAGGAAGAAATCACCATGCTCTCTTTCTGCCTTGTAATGACACTGCAGAAAGATGACTGGACACCAGCCAGTGATCAAGCCCTCACCAGAAACTGATCCCCACCAAAACAGTTGTTTAGGACTGTTTAGCTGCTTCAGTCCCGTATCCAATGGTATTTTGTTATGGCAGCAGACCAGTACAGCCAGCCTTGTCCACCAGTCAGAATGGAAGACCTCATAATTCATGGAATGGTGGGTAGGGTACTCAGAAGAGTTTGGCTTACAGTGTGCGGAGAATTAACCTCAGACTAAAGTCGCTCAGATTCTGTTTAACAAAGCATAAAAGCATAAAACCTGAACCCCAATAAAGCTCAAGAATATTCATAGAAACTAAAATATCAAAAACCAGTAATGTAAATGAATAATGTATGATATCAAAGCTAACCAGAAAGTAACTCAGTAAAATTAAAGAAGCAATACAATGACACACACACTTCTAGAATGGCTCCTATCTGAAGGATAAGAAATGTTGGCAATGACTGAGAGTGAAGGGAACACTAGCACACTATTGGTAGGAATGTAGATCAGTAGCCATTATGGAGGCTCCTAAAGAAATTAAAATAGAACTACCAGGTGCCCATTAGTTCTTCTCCTAGGTGATACTCAAAGGAGGTGCGATTACCAATTCCCATGATTGTTGTATCATTATTCACAGAACCAGTATATGGGAACAACTGAAATATCCTTTAGTTGATGAGTGGATAAAGAAAATACAGTATGAGGCATGATAAAAATATGGTGAATGCCTAAATTTTAAAAATTAGTACAGTAAAAGACCACATTTATCCTCTTCAGAATACTCCCCCTTGCTTTGAACACACTTATCTCACTATTCACTTCTGAAGCAGTTCAGGAAATCTTTTGTGAATGCCATTAGTTGCATTGTCACAGCTGCCTCAATGTCCTGAATCCATTCAAAAGATTTACCTTTCATGGATATTGGGGAACAGCCAGGTAGACAGGTCCTTACTCTGGAGTGGGGGATGTAGGCTGCCCCACCAGGTTTGCTCACCAAGCTCTTCCCTACCCTCAGGCACTCAAGAGCAGCACCTGTGCTCTCAGTATTATCTGAGCCCAAGCCAAACCCAGCCCAAGGCTGGGCTAGGGCGTGAGACTCAGGTCAGAATGTGAGGCCCAGACCTACAGTTTGAGATATTGTGTGTACAATCTTGAGCTCTATTGTAGATTATTATTTTTCCTTTGTTAGCATATGTTTGCAACACATAATAGTGAGATTTGTTTAGGGGAATTGATACATGCATATAACATATCTTGGTCACTTCCATCCTATTCTCCTCTCCCTAACCACCTTGTCCTCTGTGTACATGTAGTTTCTAGTTGTGAAGTTAAGGGGTTGATTATTTTGGGTATGAAGTTGTGATTTCTTTGTGTTTGTTACGCATAGAAACATTATGATGGGGGTAGAGGAGAGAGTCTGTTGCCAAAGATGACATGCCCCTGGAAAAAAAGAGGTCATTCTGATAGAGAGTAAAACTGTGTCTTGGTTACTTTTCTCATTGCTGAGTCAAAATACCTGATACCCAAAGTTAAAGGGAAAAATGTTTATTTCGGCTTATAGTTTGTAGAGGTTTCAGTCCATACTTGGCTGGCTCCAAGGCAGGGTGACACATGGCAGAGGGCAACAGTTCTTGGTGGCTGGAGGACAACAAAAGCAACCAGGGAGGAGCACTGAGAGAAGACTCTTTCTGTCCCTTATATTGTATGTGGGCCACCGACAGGGTGGGTGTAGCACTCACATCCATAATCCCAGCACTGGACCATGGATCAATCACAAAGTCTAGAAGCCTGTTTCCGTGACTGTGTGGGGCTTTGGGGGAGCATCGAGACACAAACCCTAACAAACTGGTTATAGAGTGGGACACTATAGGAAATGGGAAATGTAATTCTTAGCATACAAAGTAGCAGCTACATAGGATGAATAGGTCTAGAGATCTAACACACAACATGAGGATGACAGTAAGACATTTTATTAAGGATTTTTCTTAAATAGGTTTTATTGGTCTTGTCACCAAAACAAGTAGTTCTGTGAGATGATAGGTTAATTTACTTCACTTTACTAGTCATTTTATCATCTGTATGTATCATAATACATCATGTTGCAAATCTCAGATATGCACGATGAAATTTATTTTTTTAAATGGCTGGTAGTTTTCCAAATTTGATGGAAACTGTAAGTTCACAGATCCACAAGGTTAGATGAAGTCCTTGTGTAGGAAACATAAAGAAAACTCTACCAAGAAACATCATTGTCTAATTGCTTAAGATAAGTACTAATAATCTTAAAAACAGCCAGAGAAAGAGGGCATAGTATATACAGTGTGTCTTGGTTACTTTTCTCTTATTGCTGAGACAAAATACTTGATGCCCAAAATGAAGGAAGGAAGAATTTACTTAGCTTACAGTTTTTGGAGGTTTCAGTCCATACTCAGCTGGTTCCAAAGCAGGGTGGCATGGCTAAGGAGCAGCTATTCATACTGACTGTAAGTGACAAGAGTGAAAAGTGCAAAAAGGGAAAAACATGACTCCTTCTCTCCCTTACATTATATGCTAGCTACCCACCCCTGGGTGGGTGTAGCCCTGACACCACCAATCCCAGTGCTAGACAATGAACCAGTCACAAATGCTAGCTTCGTCTGCCTGCATGACTGCATGAGGCTAGGGGGCCATCCAAATACAAACCATAACACAGTGGAAGAAAGATAAAGATGGTAGCACAGTTCTTGTCATCCAGAAGTTGGTAGAGCAAGCCATATAGAGCTGAAGGGAGGTGCCCTCCCATGAGCCAGTGGCAGTCACATAGGCCAAGAGGGAACCAAAAAGCTGCGCCCTCCTGTGAGCCAGCTGGTGCACAGACCAGGAGAAAAGAAGACCCCTGCACTGCCCTGCAAGCAACCGCTGACTCAGAGGAACACAGGCTGAGATGATAGCAACTGAAGTAAAGAAACAACCTGACACTTGTATAGTTTGACCGACTCAGGCCTAAAGCTGGTAGTCTGAGCATCTATTTAAAGGATAACAACATACAATACAGGAACTATTAGGGGTTTCCTACTGTCTTATTTTGTAATCCATATTGTTCCTATTGTTTTGTTTTGTTCTGTTTTATTGTTTTGCTTTATTCCTTTAAAAAAAGAGCTGAAGGGAAAGAATGCTCATCCTAGAACTCTGTATCTGGCAAAAATAACTTTCAAATATTAAAGTGATGTAAAGACTTTTCACACATAGATAGTTGAAAGAGTACATCACCAACAGACCCGCACTGTAAGAAATATTATAGTGAGTCCCTGGGGCAGAGGTAAAATGA